AGCGATCCTCCTGCCTCAGCCTTCCGAGTAGCTGGGACTACAGGCATGCGCCATCACTCCCAGCTAATTTTTTCTATTTTTAGTAGAGACGGGGTCTTGGTCTTGCTCAAGCTGGTGTCAAACCCCTGCCCTCAGGTAATCCTCCCACCTTGGCCTCCCAGAGTGTTAGCATTACAGGCATGAGCCACCATGCCTGGCCAAGCCTGTCCTTTTCAGAGTCCTCTTTCTAAACATTGCTGGACACAGTGGCTTGGTGTATGTTTGAGAGCTGCAGTCCACGGGCCCTAGTTTGTAACTTTAAGTTCCAGGTTCTCTTCCTGGCTATCTCCTTACTTCTTTCCTATTTCCTCTTTGTTTCCAGTCTCCGAATGTGGCGATTCTAAATTTTCATGTTACGTCTCTGAACATGAGATGAAGTCAGTATCTCACAATCTCATTCTTCTGGTTACAGTTGGGCATGATGGGATTTGGCTGCTCTCAGACTCCTGCTTCCTTGGATGCTGTTGTCATCAGGTTCAGCAGGCTGGGAGTGGGCCCAGGGTCGGGCTAGATTTGCTCTCACTGTGGCAGAGAAGGGCAGACTTGGAGGATAGGGGTGGCCCCAAGCCAGGTGTAAGGGATAGGCAGGAATGCAGAAATGGTCACTTAGCAGTCAGGCGTGGACTTTGTCTTCTCATGAGCATAGCAATATGTGTATCATGAGGACCAGACTCTATATAACCCAGGAGAGCAGGGCACATTTTGCTTGTCACTTATGTAGAAAAATGCACTGGGGACCCAACATAGCCTGGCAACATGTTCCTGCCCTCACGTAATTAGTCTTAGGTGGCATATATATATAGAAATAATTCAGTGTGTGATATAAAATCTTAAGTTCTGCAAGGTATTGGCAGATCACCTTGGCAGTCAGGAGGCTAAGGTGATTACTATGTGGAGAGGCAGAGAAACTTCCTGGAGGTGGTAGCCGTAGGTGAAAATATAGATTGGAGACCTTGGTAACTACCACAGCCTCCTGTCTTGAGGGGCACCAGGAAGTCAGTGGAGGCTCAGAGAGGAGGTAGGACCATCTTAGGCTGCCGGAGAATGGGGCACCTTGAGGGTCAGCTCAGGGGGTTTGTGCTTTATTTGGTAGAGAATGAGGAGCTCTTAGAGATTTTTGACATGGTCAGAGGAGTGCTTTACGAGGAAGAATGACCTGGTGAGGACACAGACGACTTAGAGTGGAGAAGGACCCAAGGTGGCGAATCCTGCTGGGAGCCTGAGTGGCCCAGGGGATACAGTGGGGTCTTGAGCCAGGAGAGTGGCACTGGGCTGTGAGCAAGTGCAGCGGTGGGCCGTGTGATGAATTTGGTGGTGTGTCATGTCTCTGGAGCAGGCAGTTGGTGTGTGGCCATCATCCAGCGACCGGCTTATTGTGAGACTGGATTCCCCGCTCTTCTGAGGGGTTGAGTTTTAGTTTTCTCTTTTTATAAAATAAGTTCGATGTTTATTTATAAAACATTTGTAAAGCTGAATCAAACTTTGATAAGGCTTCTGGTCTTATTCAAAAAGTAGTGTTTTAATATATGTTTGTCCAGTTCGGTTTGCTCATTTAAGGACTTAAAAAGTACAGACTGCAACAGCAGAATCAGGATTTAAAAACCCCTGAGATGTTACTGTACTTCAGAATCTCCCAAAATGTGATTCTTCTTTTGATTTTCAAGTTCACTGACCAGGTAGGTGAACCCACATGAGTTTTACTAAAGACCAGCTTGGTCCATGGACATGAACCATATGACATGAACATGTCACAGTGAAAGACGGCTTTTTGACTGAGGTGTGGTCACAGCGTCCTCTCTTCTGGGTGCACAAGCATTTGCCATACCATTTTGGAAGAGAAGGTTCCCATGGACAAGAGTGGCACCAGAGTCTTCCCTCTCCCTTTCTTCCAACTTGAGAAGCCCTTCTCTAATGTGGACTTTGTGCCATTAGCCCTTGTTACCAGGTTGAAGTTGGCCACGTGGCTGTTATTTCTGGTTTAGCTCTGCCAAGTGGGCAGGGAGGGGCAAGACATGTGCTGTGAGGAACATGGGGCTCCTAGCAGGCCATGGGCTCTAGGTCACGGGGTGTGGGGCTGTGGGCATCCCTGCCAGTGAGGAGGGACCAGACTTGTAGAAAGGATGTGGGACTCTGCCCCAAGCAGTGTTCCTAGCCAGAGTGAGGAGCTCTGATCTCGTAAGTACTGTCACAGCCCCTGCACCCTGTAGGCTTCCAGTACATCGCATTAGCCAGTGTCGTCCAACAGAATGTCCCGCTTGAGATTAAAAGTTTACGCTGGGCTTTGGAATTTATTTGAACTATCTACTATTTTAATTTTGATGTTATGTAGTATTTGTTACAATGAAAGTTAAATTATTTTTCTTTCCATTTTTTTGTTCAGGTGAATGACCTGTATCTAATTTATCAGTATATTCATATATTTGCTTCTTTCTTTCTTTCTTTTTTTTTTTTTTGAGACAGAGTCTTGCTCTGTTGCCTGGGCTAGAGTGCCGTGGCGTCAGGCTAGCTCACAGCAACCTCAAACTCCTGGGCTTAAGCAATCCTTCTACCTCGGCCTCCTGAGTAGCTGGGACTACAGGCATGCGCCACCATGCCCGGCTAATTTCTTCTATATATTTTTAGTTGTCCAGCTAATTTCTTTCTATTTTTAGTGGAGACGGGGGTCTCACTCTTGCTTAGGCTGGTCTTGAACTCCTGACCTTGAGTGATCCTCCCGCCTTGGCCTCCCAGAGTGGTAGGATTACAGGCGTGAGCCACCACGCCCAGCCAGCTTCTTTCTTTCTTAATGAATAGGTTCTGAATTTAATTGCTATTATATTTTACTTTGCCCCCAAATCAAAATCTTAGTTGCCTTTTAGCTTCTTTAGAACTGTTGACAGATTATGTCTTCCATAAACAAATTTGTTATATTTTGTTGTAGGCTTTGATGGATTCCAATCTTCCAAGGTTGCAGCTTGAGCTCTATAAGGAAATTAAAAAGGTGGGCCTTCATTTTGCATTGTTGAAAAAGTTTCACTGTAGTAAATAGCATGTGTGGAATTCTCTTTTATTCAGTAAGTAAAAATGTTAGAAGGAAATGCTATTTGGTAAAGTAGATTATTGCTTTACTTTTATTCAAAAGGTTATTCTTCATTTTTATTAGATGAGATGGGAATTTGATGTGGTCACTTAAATTTATAATTGAAGCCCACTAGACCTTAAAATTCCTAAAGTAGTTACCACATGTTTTACACATTTAGTTGCCCTTTTCTGTAAAAATAGAAATTAACCATGAAAGAAAATGCTTTTGTTTATATGCAACCCTCTTTATGACTAGTGCATGTGACTCTTAAATGTAACATGTTGCTCACTTCACTACTCAGAATGGCGCCCCTCGAAGTCTCCGTGCCGCGCTGTGGAGGTTCGCCGAGCTGGCTCACCTGGTTCGGCCTCAGAAATGCAGGTAAGGAGTACACTCTGCGTGATGATTGTATAGGGGGCCAGCTACTACCAGTCCTTTACGTCTAAGCTCAAATGTCACTTAAAAAAATAAAAGTCACTTCAGAGATCTGCTCTGTCCACTCTAAATTGCATGGACCTTGCCCTGTTTGTATTTCTGTTGTAGCACTAATCCCTGTCAGAAACTGTCTTGTACACTTTCTCGGTGTGCTTGTTCATTCTCTGTCCCACCTGCCCCAGGACAGCGGGGGTCTTGTCTTGTTCTCTGCTGGCCAGCACCAGTAACAGTGTCTGCACGTAGTACTTGCTAAAGAGATACTTGTCAAATTGTTGAATGTTAAGGTACCAACCTCCTTATTGCTGATTGTAGGAGTTAGAGGGAAAAATGTGTTAAAAATATGAGTGTTGAACTGTGAATAAAATTTTGACTAGTTGAAACAGTTCTATCTTAATGGATTGAGAAACAAAAGCAGGACCACTTTTCATCAGTTCCTTCCTTCTTTCCTTAACCAGCAAAACGTGCTGATGCCCTGTGGACCCTTGGCTCCATCCCCGAGGAACTGGTAGAATGGCCTAAACCTTCACTGTTAGTATGAAACAATGATTTATTTCATTGAGGTTGAGTTTCAATAAGAATCTTACATGGCTGCACAGCTACGATTAGTAGGCAAATTTCTTTTTTATATAACTTTTTTTATTTTACTATTCTTATTTGGAAAAATTTGTTACATTTCTGAAGTAACACATCCCATATTCTCCACATAGCAGCCAAAATGACCTTGAAGAATGGTCCTGTCATTCCCTGACTTAAACTCTTATTCCCCAGTGCTGTCCGGATAGAATCCAGATTGCTCACTAAGGCCCAGGCCATCACCCCACTGGCCCTGTCACCTCAGATACTCTCTGTTGACTCATTGGCCTGATTTTAGTTCTTTAAGCAAGCCAAGTTTTTCTTCCTCTTGATAGCTGGTTTGTTTTTTTTCCCTCAAGTCTCAGCAAAAAAGTTACCTCCTTAGAGAGGCCCCCCTTGGCTTCCTACGTAATCTGCCCTAGGTGCCTCTGTGGAAGTGTCAGTGCGCCATCTGTGGCTCTGTTTGTCACCTGTCTCTGCCACTGGAGGGTGGAGGCCTCGCTGCTCCAGGTACCTGGGCAGTGGCCTGCCAGTCACCAAGGATTTGTTCAGTGAATTCATGTGGTCTCAGCTTATCTGTCCTGTGACTCAGTTCTCTCATGTCCTACACATTCTGCTTTTTCTCTTCAGGGAACCAAGTCTTATCTCTAAGGCCCCATTTAGTTTGCATGCTTTTTTCCCTTTGTTGTATCATGCTCCTTTTAAAAGAAAGCTTTATTCTCATTTCTTAATTTTTGTCTATCAAATGGTGTTTTCTTATGTTAAATATTATTTTCCAATTAAAAAATAAGCATTTAAGTAACTATTATAATTTACTGCAAACAGCTTTTAAACCCAGCTTTTTAGAGTCCTCTGTGATCATAAAAGAAATGAAGGACATGCCTTCCAACACTTAAACTTCATTCGCATTTTGTCCTCCTTTTATTAATAGCTGAGCTTTGTCCAGTGTCCATTAAGGACTATTTTGCATATAAAACTGTTTTTCCCTAACATGGAACGAATTACTTACATTTCTCTTTAAGGAGACTTGGAAGAATGAATAATGTTCCCTTTGCGTACACAGGCCTTACCTGGTGAACCTTTTGCCGTGCCTGACTCGAACAAGCAAGAGACCTGAGGAATCAGTCCAGGAGACCTTGGCTGCAGCTGTTCCCAAAATTATGGCTTCTTTTGGCAATTTTGCAAATGACAATGAAATTAAGGTATGATTGTTGGCTCAAATCACAAACATTCGGATGATGCCATGAATGAGTCTTGTTCAGGGTTATGACTTTTTGACAGTCAGTCATTTGAGAGTACTTCTTCGGTTATGTTGTGTGTCATAATTTAGACTACCATCATTTGTGTTATTTTGAGGCACCCTAAGAGCTTCTTTTCACTTTTGGTTTCTTACTGTGGGGTGAAGAGTTTAATAGGGAGGTGGTTTATCGATGCAAATTCAAAAGGCACCTTTCCAGAGCAGACTGGTTTTGGTATACTAGACTGACCCCTTAACCTTGAGAGATTAAGTTCCAACTGTATCAGGACTGCAGATGGGAGAAAGCTCAGTGATGCAGCTCTGTGGGTATGAACGTCTCACAGCCACCAGGGCCACATGGCTCTCTGTTTTGCTACCTTCAAATTCACTTTAGTGTTTTATTTACAGTGTCTAGAAACTATGACTCTTCCTCGTGGTTTGCAGATTACAGGATTCTTGGCCTCCTCCTTTCTTATGGGTCAGGCCTGCATTTGAGCCCGAGTAGCCCAAGGAGGTGTGCTACAGTGGTTAGAGTACTCTTTGGAAATCAGTTGGACGTGGATTAGAATTCTGTCCTCTTTACCCAACAGCTCTAAGCTTATAGCCTTCCTATTCTGAAAAATGGGACATTAATGATATGTGGGGCTATTCTAAGAGTCAAGTGAATGAATGCATATTAATAGTGTAGCATAGCAACCCACAGGAAGTACTCAAATGTTAGCTGCTACTTCTATTAGCTTTATGACCTTGGATAAACTATTTAGCCTCTCACATTTTTTCTCTGAGTTTCACAGTTTCCTTGTAAATACTAAGGAGATTTAAAACCATTTTCATGGGGTTTTGGAACAGTGAAGGGAGATGATGAATCCAAAGAATTTAGTGTAATAACTAAATCATTGTGCTTAGTGCATGGCAGCAGCTGCTGCTGTTACTTACTTACTTATTTATTTATTTTAATTTTTTTTTTTTTTTTTTTGAGATGGAGTCTTGCTTTGTTGCTCGGGCTAGAGTGAGTGCCATGGCATCAGCCTAGCTCACAGCAACCTCAAACTCCTGGGCTCAAGCAATCCTCCTGCCTCAGCCTCCTGAGTAGCTGGGACTGCAGGCACGAGCCACCACGCCCAGCTAATTTTTTATTTCTATTTTTAGTTGACTGGCTAATTTTTTTTCTATTTTTATTAGAGACAGGGTCTCGCTCTTGCTCAGGCTGGTCTCGAACTCCTGAGCTCAAGCGATCCTCCTGCCTCGGCCTCCCAGAGTGCTGGGATTACAGCCATGGACCATTGCGCCCAGCCTCTGCTGTTATTTTTATTACCAGCTCTTTGGAATGGGGGCAGGTGCTCCTCAATGGTGAGAGAACATGAGAGCTCCACAGCCCAAGTTCATCGGTCTGCTCAGTGGGGTCTGTTGAAGACAGTGTACTCTGTAATATCTCTGGCTGTCAGGGTTTAAAGACCAGGCAGATGATAGATAGTATTTTTGTAGTCTTAGTTCTTCTCATCATTTCCATGGTGATCCATGATTTAGATCACCATTTGAATATGAAGATGCTAATGTATTTTTTATACATAGTGGCCATTAATTACTTCCTTCCTGAACCTTTGGCATTTAAAAGATCTATTTATTCCTCTACTCCCTACCCCATAATTTGAATTTATGTTTATTAAAATGTATTTTCAGTGAAATTCAATAGCACCAAAAAGATTATAAACAATGATAGTGGTCCCTTTCCTATTTCTCCTTAATTCTTGTTTCTCAGAAGCAAATGTAACTCTTAAGTGTCTCTTCTGGTATTTACCTTCACATTTCTAAATAACATTCTTATAATGCTATTTTGGGGGTTTTTTTCAATTTCAGACATTTTTTACTATGGAAGAGATGAGTTTAGCTCTAATCCTTCTCCTATCTTTTCACTATAGTTCTGTCAGTATTCGGTATACATTATTTTGCCCAAGTAAATAGTAATGGCTGGTTATGTGTTACATTTCTATGATTTATATTTCTTTGTACAACTTTTTGTTTTCCTGAAGTTAACAATTTTCTCTTTTTTGATTATTATTCTTTGGCCATTTATGTCTTCTCACACCTTTGAATAGTGTTGTAAAATATGTCTCAGTGCAGTTTTCCACATGGCAGGTCATTTATTGGCCCGTTTTCACCCAGTAGAGTCATCTGTCTCAGAAGTCTTCAGCTCCTTTCTCCAGCGCCATCAGCTTGCTCTTTGCACATATGCGACTGCACAGCCATGTCCCAGGACGTCTCTTTGCTGTCATCCTCGGAATTTCCTTTGCTGTTCTCCTGTTGGATGCCGTGCTCTTGGATGTCATATCTTTATCTTTTTAGGTTTATTCTCTCATGTAATAGAATATATCCTCTAGTATCTTCTTGAGAAAGGATGAAGGGGAAGTAAATTGATTAAGATTTGCATTCATGAAAATATCTTTATTTCTTGATTGCGTATAGAGGTCTGGGATGGAAATCATTTTCCCTGGGGAATGTTAAAATCTTTGCCCCACTGTCTTACAGTCTCTAGCATGGCTATGGAGAAGTCAAATGACCTGATTGCTTAAGCTTTGAAGGTGTTTTTCTCCAGAAGCTTTTCGTTTGGGGGGAGGTGGGGTACTGAGTACATTGTAGGCCTTTTAAATTTGGAAACTTATGTCCTTCAACTCTGGGAAAGTTTTCTACATTTCTTTGACAAGTGCTTACCCTTTATTTTCTGTGTTCTCTCTTTCTGAAATTTGTTATTAATAGTTAGACTTTGGTTGTACTGGATTGATTCACATTTTTATTATCTTTTTCTTTTCTTCTTTCTGTACTTTCTAGATTTCCACCTCAAACCCTTGTATTCAATGTTGCGCTTTTAATTTCTAAGAGTTCTTACTTGAGTTCAGAACGATCATGTCGTATAACATCCTTTTCTTGTTTATGAATGCACTGTCTTATCTCGCTTTTTTTGTGTGTGAGACAGGGTCTTGCTCTGTTGCCTGAGCTAGAGTGCAGTGGCCTCACCATAGCTCACTGCAACCTCAAACTCCTGGGCTCCAGCGATCCTCCTGCCTCAGCCTTCCGAGTAGCTGGGACTGCAGTTGCCACCACACCTGGCCCCACTATATTATCTTTCCGAGGATATTGATGATAGTTTTCTTGACTCCTTCTTTTAACTTCTGCATTATCTGTTTGTTCTGACTTCCTCCATTATATTTATTCTGGTCTTTCTCTTTTATGTTAGAGACTGTCCGTGTCAAGTTGAAAGAGACACTAAGAAGGTTATTGGAAGCACGTATGTGGCAGGGCTTGTTGTCTGGTAGGCTTCCTGAGTGATGGGTGGTGAGCCTGCTTTTTGGATGCTTTTTGCTGGATCTCTAAATATCAGTGTCTGTAAATCTTTTTCTCTTGAGCCAGTCAGTATCCCTGCAGGAAAATTCCATTCTTCTGCTTGGAAGCATAACTGGCTGCATTTGTCCTGGAACCCTAGGATGGAAAGGGACTAACAGTATCACTGCTCAGAATGCAGATTTTTACTTAATTTTTCTGTTTTCCGTATGTGTCTTGTGTCTGTCCTCAGCTATGCAAACATCTCTTGAGATCACCCCTGTCAGACTTTGTAGGGGATGGGGGAGGAAGGGCCACTTCCTGGGCTGCCTGTGGTCGGAGGGGAGGCCCATGGTGAAGTGATTGGGAGTTTGCACAAGGAGCACTGAGACAACCAGCTATTTCCTCCCTATAGTCACTCTGCTTCAGATATGGACTCTCGTCTACGGCCATGCCGCCCTGAACACGCCCGATCCCATCTGACCTCAGATATGGACTCTCTAAATCCTGAGCTTTTCTTGGAGTTCTGTGGCTTGAATAAGCTTCTTAGTACCTTCATACCTCCTTGCCTAACTTCCAGAAGAGCTCACATTTGATCTTCTTCCTTGGGCTACTGGGTCAGGTAGTTCTCCTTGTTACTTTCTGGCTTCCAGAGTTTTCTTGGCACTTGTAGTCTGCTAGTGTCCCTTACCTATTTTTTCTGTCCTTGTAACTTTATGCTTTTTAAAACTTCTTTACATGATTTTGTGGGGTTTCTGGGTAGCAGAGTTTCACATGTTCATTCCAGCATGTGGGATCCTAAGTCTTCTAATGTCTGGTGTATTCTCATCCTCAAAATAACCTGTCAAATACTGAGTTTCCCCAGATGTTTGTTTTTTTCCTGACATACAATATACATACAGGACAAGACGTAAGTCATGCGCATACCCCTTGCTGAATTGCCATAAATTGAACTTATGCTTGTAACCAGCACCGAGGTCAAAGAAATAGAATATCCTAGCACCCACAAGCCCTCGCATGCTCTCTCCCTGTCACTGCTTTCTCCTCCCTCCCCAAGGTAATCACTGTCCTGGTGATTCTAATGCCATAGAGCATCTGTTTTTAAATTGTCTGTATGTGGAACCATATATTGTATATTCTTTTGCTCAGCATGAAGTTTGTGAAAGTCCTGCATGTTATTGTATGTATTTGTAGTTCATGTAGGTTTCATAGCTGTACAACATTCCATTGTGTGAGTATACCACAGTTTATCCATTTTATTGTAGCTGGACATTTGGGTTGTTTTTTAGTTTTTGTCTGTTATGAATAATGCTGCAGTGACCATTCTTATGTGTGTATTTTGGAGCACATGTACAGCTTTCTGTTGTGGATACCTAGAAATGCAGTTGTAGGGTTACAGCGTTACTGGGTGATAAAGTATGTGTATCTCAGCTGCAGGAGATACCGTCAAATAGCTTTCCTAAGCGATTGTGCCAGCGTACCCTTCCATCAGTGGTGGCTGGGAACACCAGGTGCTCTGCACCCTCCCTAACACTTGGGATTGCTGTTTCTTTTAATTTTAGCCATGCTCATGGGTATGTTCTGGCATCACATTCTGACTTTAATTTCCACTTCCATTCTCTGAAATACTCTTGGCTCTAAAATTTAATGATTTTCATCTTTTCCCTTTTGAAATACTCTTAAAAACATGCGTATGTTTTGAAAAGTATAGCTATCTGCTCTAAAATATAGTGCATTTCCTCCCCATTAAAAGAAGAGCGGCCTTGGTACCTCCTGCCAGCTGCCTTATAGAAGACATTCTTGGCATTATGAGAAGGCCCCTCGGAGCTCTCAGATTAAATTGTATTATTTATTATTCCAAACTACAGGCAGTCCCTGGGTTACAGACGACCCAACTTGTGTCATTCCGTACTTACAAATGGGCTCCCAAGGCTCCCCATAGGATAATTTATAATTAAATAATAAAATTAATAATTTGGGAACTAGTTTCTTCCATGCATATAAACAAACCTGCATGGCGTAAGTGGTTCACTGGCGCAGCATCTTTGTGCTAGTGGCCAGTCTCATTGTTTATATGGCCGCTTACGCACAGCATCACTTTTGTCTTATTAATAACTTTTTTATTCTATTTTGTGAGTCTGTGTTTACCCTTATTACCATGCCACCAAAGTGAAAGTCCACTGCAAGTCCAGGTGAACCTGCAGCGAAGAGAAAGGTGATTATGATGGAAACGGAAGTAGAAATAATTAAGCTTTGGGAAAGAGGCCAGACGCTGTCATTCACTGGGAAAGCATTAGGCTTCCGTCACTTGACTATTGGGACAATTATGAAGGATAAAGTGAGCATAATGGAGCATGTGAAAGGCCATGCTCCAATGAAAGCATCAGTTATTACTAAGCAGCGTAGTGGATTAATTACTGAAACAGATTATTATTTAGTTAGAAGATCAAAATAAGAGTAACTTTCCTATTAGCCTAAGATTGACGCAACATTCTTTTTTGAAATTTCTTCTATCTCCTATCTAAACTTTTTATATGAATTTGTTTTCATGTTGTTTATTTGAATTAAAAGAAAGAGCACAGTAGTTTCTGTAACTGATTATTACAGTACAGGGGTGTTATTATCAGTACAGTATTTCACTGTATTGTTACCACATATGAGCCATTATAATATTGCTATTATTAATTATTATTATTATTGAACCATATACGAGCTGTTCATCAGGGATCTGAGTTACATACAAATCTGACCTAAAGACGTTCTCAGGAACATATCTCATCTGTAACCCCAGGACCACCTGTACTTAAGTTTACCATGGGCTGATTCTTCATCATAATGCTTAGCTCTCATTGAGCTTACAAGTTTGTACTAATATGGAATGATTCTTAATGTACTTTTTCAAGGATATACATGTGTGTGTTTCAATCAAAGGAGTTTGTTTTGGTTTTGTTTTATTCTTTTAGAGATAGGGTCTCACTGTCACCCAGGCTGAAGTGCAGTGGCATGATCATAGTTCACTACAACCTCAAACTCCTGGGCACTCCCATCTTGGCCTCCTAAAGTGCTGGGATGATAGGCGTGAGCCACCACCCTGAGCCAATCAAAGAAATTCTTTAAGATGCTAGTATGTTTTCTTGTAGATAAAAAAGTTTGTCAGAGATAAATTGACTGGATTCTCCAGGTGGTGTCTCACAGAGAAACTGGAGGCAACTTGTCATTGGGGGAGTCCTGTCGCCAGGCTCTAGTCTTCTACCTCACAGGTCCAGGAGTCTATTCTGTAAATTAACTGAGAGTTGATAAGCCTCTAAGAACGAGTTTATGTTAACCACACTCTTAAGGAGAAACTTACTTATAAATCAGATGCTCATTTGCCTAGGCATAGCCCTAGCAGAGTCCCTGACTGATAGTAATTGCTCAGTGAACATTCAACAATGATAGGAGTCAAATCATGGCTCAGAGTGTAGTTTAATAATGGGAAATGGATATTCATAAGTAATGTAGTCACTAAACTAATACAGCCAGGTGGTCACCCCTTTTCATTCTTTGGATATTTTTGTTAAGACTTCACTGGCCATCATTAGAATTATAGCACCTTTTTCTTTGGATTATTCTGGATGTCCAGTGAGGAAGTCTTAATCTCTAATTTTTTAGGAGAACACTTGAGTAATTGCCAGTGGAAGATGTTCCAGTTCTGACAATGCTTGGTGACACGAGCAGCACTTTTACACATTATTTCTTAGGCTGGGACATTACTATAGTTAGCTAATACTCTTTTCTTCTTTATGTCATTGTTTGTTGATTTTTTTTTTTATTGCCTTTAATTTACATAGTGTCATATTCCTATATCCCCAGACACAGTGGGTACACTGTATCTAGAAGTTGAGATCTACACCCTCACAGAGAGGAGATAGATGCTGAGTAGGTCCATAAGTGAAGGTTACGAGTAAGTAAATAGACTATGCATTTATAAGCTGCTCTCAAATATCCCAAATTTGGGATGCTTACTTTCAGCTACAGGAAAAGCCTCAAACTGTTTATAATTTATACTCTGTAAGAATTTGGAACTTCTGATTCAAATTAAATTTTATGAAATACGTGATAAGCTTCATAGGAGCTTTGTTTTTTATCTCTTGGAATTTTGCTTCCGTAGGTTTTGTTAAAGGCTTTCATAGTGAATCTGAAGTCCAGTTCCCCTACCATTCGGCGGACAGCAGCTGGGTCAGCAGTGAGCATCTGCCAGCACTCAAGAAGGACACAGTATTTTTATAACTGGCTACTAAATGTGCTCTTAGGTAAGGTGGATGCATAGGAGAGGTGGAGGTCAAGATAGACCTTTGGAAATCTTTAAGATCAGATGATACCCCAGCCATCTGGACTAGGTCAATTGGCACTGGCTGACTGGTGAATGTGAACTGTGTTGGGGCTGCTGTGAGCCTGCATGGGTCTTGTGACGGCACAAATGCAGCCGTGCCCAAGGACATGTGGGTGGGCAGTGGGTGTGGGCCAGTGGAGAGCCCCACCTTCCTTCCTGGCCCTGGCCCCTGTCCGGGCTGGCTCTGACTACAGTGAGTCCTCGAAGCTTGAGCTTGAGACTGTGCCTCAGATCCCTGTAGGTTCTCTGTAGCTCAGTTGACAATTTCTCCTGTAGTTTGGGTCGCTGAATATCAACGCTAGCGAGTGCTGGAGTTAGTGTGTGGATGTTTGATATGAAATGACTGCCTAACTTTCACACGCGGTAGAACTCACTGCAGAGGGCATTGCTAAGCTCAGGATGTGGATTTGGGCCATATGGTATATTCTTTCACAGTAATGTTTGTGCCGTCTATCCCTTAGAATCTCTCTTCTTTTTAACAAATTAAGCCACAAATCTCCAAGCAACAAATTAGATGTTAAGGGATCTTGCTTCTGTCTTTATAGGTTTGCTAGTTCCTGTTGAAGATGAACACTCCACCCTCCTGATCCTGGGCGTGCTGCTCACACTGAGATATTTGGTGCCCTTGCTGCAGCAGCAGGTCAAGGATACCAGCCTCAAAGGCAGTTTTGGGGTAACACGGAAAGAGATGGAAGTCTCTCCCTCTGCAGAGCAGCTTGTTCAGGTAGGAGCTGCAGGGTTTCCTCTAGTGCTTACATGTGAACACTAGCATTCAAAGAACCAATTAATGTGGAAGAAAAGTGGGAGAACCAAGGATCAAGAGTGTGGACTGTGGAGCTGGATTGCTGGGTGCTAACCCTAGGTGTTGACCTCTAGCTGTGCGACCTCTGTATGTCAGTGTCACCACAGGTCAAATGCAGGTGGTATCTCTGAAGGTGCTGTGAGTGTTACCTAAGCCCCTTAGTCCCCTGCCTGGCACATGGACCGCTGCTACTCTGTTTCTAAAACTAAGGATCATGAAGTGTGTTCATCCACTCAGTAAATATTGATGAGCACCCATGATGTACTAGGCACTGTGGTAGGTGCTGGGAATACTGTGGTGAGCATTTCCGATGTGGTCTCTGCCCCCTGGAACCTGTGGCCTAGTGAACTGGTCTAGATAGGGTGGTATGCTCATCCAAGGAGGTGAGGACATGGTCTGTGGGGGTGCCTTGATTCAGGGTTTGCTTCCTGATTTATAGGTATTTGAGTCAACTGGATTTATAGGTTGTGTCATTTAGCTAAATTTTGTAGGGTACAAAATTTGAAGTGGCTTAAATGATTTTTGCATAGAATCATGAATTGAAGCTAATGCTAATAATTTAAGCATTAAGCTAGATAATATTTGTAAAGTGTTTAGAATCCTTCCTTGCACATGTTAAGGCCCTGTCGGTGCTGGTTAATGATAAACAACTGAGCAGAAGTGGACTCTAAGAAAATGTTGGCTGACCAGCTGCCCTTCAGGTGCGTTATAGAATACATGCAATGACAGTGTATGTAATATGACATTTAATTATATTGCCTCCACAAAAAAATCATTACTGAATGTTTTAGTGAGTAAAAATTGTGCCACCGTGGTAATAAATACATTAAAATATAGTTTATTTTGTCTTTACCTTACCTTATTTTTTTGGTTGTTTTTTTACTTTTTTTTTGAGACAGAGTCTCACTCTGTTGCATTGGGTAGAGCATAGTGGCAACATCATAGCTAATTGCAACCTCAAACTCCTGGGCTCAAGTGATCCTCCTGCCTCAGCCTTCAGAGTTTCTGGGACAACAGGTTCGTGCCACAACACCCAGCTAATTTTTCTATTTTTAGTAAAGATGAGGTCTCACTCTTGCTCAAACTCCTGAGCTCAAGTGATCCTCCTGCCTTGGCCTCCCAGAGTGCTAGGATTACAGGCGTGAGCCACTGCGCCCAGCCTATTTTTTTACTTTTTAATAAGGAGAATTCTAGACATAATAATTCATGGCCAATCATGTTTCATTTATAATCCCACTCACTTCTCTTTTGTATTATTTATTTTTATTTAAAACATTTTTTTAGAGACAGGGTCTTGCTGCATTGCCCAGGTCAGAGTACGGTGGCCTGATCATAGCTCACTGTAGCCTCAAACTCCTTGGCTCAAGCAATCCTCCTGTCTTAACCTCCTGAGTAGCTAGGACTACAGATATGCACCATTACACCTGGCTACTTTTTAAAATTTTTTGTAGAGGCAGGGTCTCACTGTGTTGCTCAGGCTGATCTTGAACTCCTGGCCTCAAGTGATTCTCCTGCCTTGGCCTCCTGGAGCACCGGATTGCAGGTGTGAGCCACTGAGCCTGGCCTTTTGGATTATTTTGAAGCAAATCCCAATCATTCTCTTATTTCGCCTGTATTTCATTGTGTATCTCTATAGATGAAGATTCTCAGGCCGGGCGCGGTGGCTCACGCCTGTAATCCTAGCTCTCTGGGAGGCCGAGGCGGGCGGATTGTTTGAGCTCAGGAGTCCGAAACCAGCCTGAGCAAGAGCGAAACCCCGTCTCTACCAAAAATAGAAAGAAATTAATTGGACAACTAAAAATATATAGAAAAAATTAGCCGAGCATGGTGGCGCATGCCTGTAGTCCTAGCTACTCGGGAGGCTGAGGCAGGAGGATGGCTTGAGCCCAGGAGTTTGAGGTTGCTGTGAGCTAGGCTGATGCCATGGCACTCACTCTAGCCCGGGCAAAAGAGTGAGACTCTGTCTCAAAAAAAAAAAAAAAAGATTCTCCTTTTTTTTTTTTGGAGACAGAGTCTCACTCTGTCACCCTGGGTAGAGTTCAGTGGCGTCATTGTAGCTCACTGCAACCTCCAACTCCTGGGATCAAGTGATCCTCTTGCCTCAGCCTTCTGAGTAGCTGGTACTATAGGTGAGTGCCACCATGTCCGGCTAATTTTTCTATTTTTAATGGAAACAGGGTCTCATTCTTGCTCTGGCTGAGCTTGAACTCCTGAACTTAAGCAATCCTCCTACCTCGACTTTCCTGAGTTCTAGGAGTACAGACGTGAGCCACCATGCCTGGCCTCTATTTTATTTTTTTTTAAACTTCATGACAATGCCATTGTTAGACTTAAAAAACTTAACATTTCCTAAACATCAAATACCCACTCATCCACAACTTTCTCTCTGCTGTTTTGGAACCAGTATCCAAATAAAATTGCTTGATAAGGATTGTAAGTCTCTTTGATCAACTATTTCCCCTTCCATCCCAATTTTTTCCCCCTTAGAGTTCATTTGTGGAGGAGCCCATTTGTCTTGTTAAGTTTCTTTGTGGTCTGATTTATTGCTTGCATGTCCATTGTTTAAATTTGCACTTTTTCCTGTTCTCTTTATTGCCTATAAATCAGTAATTGGAGCAAGAGGCTTGTCAGATTTAGGGTATATTTTGTAATGTAAATTATATCTGAGTTCAGTAGTCCTTATGTTAATATAATATTTTAAAATAAACATTTGAAAAGTATTGAGGCTATATGCTAAAAATTTTTTTACTGGTGCTTTAGAAAACTGCTTAATCAAAAAATTGGGAAACCATTGGTCTAGTGGGAGAAATAATTACTAAACACGTGGCACGGTGGGGGAGCACATGTGGAGCCTTTGCCTTACAGAGGAGGGCAGGGAGGCCCCTAAGAAAATTCAGTGGTGACGACGCTTACCGGTGAGTAGGATCTGACCAGATGAGGGAGTCGGGAGAAGAAGGGAGTTTTATAGATAGAAACTGCGATCTTTGCCAAGTCCAGGGAGTGAAAGGATGAAAGAGTGCTGACAGCACATGAGTGTAAGAGTATGTACACCCTCTCGATGGGTCCTGGAGAGGCCTCCTGGCTTCCTCAAGGGTTAGCAGGAGTGCTGATGATAGTCAAGGTCATAGAGAAATTGGAAACTGTGTTAAACTGGGATTGCAGTGATCCTGGGAGGATAGGGGAAAGGGTGTGGGTGTGGTGCTTAATTAATTGCTGATTTTCTTAATGGTTTCTTTTCTCCAAATCGATTAAATGATGCGATACTTTTTGAACTAGCAAGCTAGATGTGATTACCTCTAAAATATATCTTACTCCATCTTCTTTTGACTAATGACTGTTCTGAATGAAATTACTTTGAGAAGTTTAATTTCACTAATGTAGTTTGGGTAACTGTATTTAATAAGAATTTAAAAGAATCCTAGGCCTGGCCAAACTATTAAGCAAGTGTGAGCAAAATATAGATACTTCTAGATAAGCAAGAACTCAGTTTGCCTTTCATGTATGGTTTTTGAAAAAAAGTTATTTGAAGATTTATTACAGCAACATGTGAAATAAATTGAAAAATAGAGGAAGCCCTGAAATCTAAGAAACAAAGCATCTAACCCAGGAATGTAATAAAAGCAATTCTAAGATGATTGTTGTTTAGTGTACAGTTCAGATTAGGCACTTCAAGAATTCCCTGAATGGCCGGGCGCGGTGGCTCACGCCTGTAATCCTAGCTCTCTGGGAGGCCGAGACGGGCGGATTGTTTGAGCTCAGGAGTTCGAAACCAGCCTGAGCAAGAGCGAGACCCCGTCTCTACTAAAAATAGAAAGAAATTAATTGGACAACTAAAAATATATAGAAAAAATTAGCCGGGCATGGTGGCACATGCCTGTAGTCCCAACTACTCGGGAGGCTGAGGCAGGAGGATTGCTTGAGCCTAGGAGTTTGAGGTTGCTGTGAGTGAGGATAACGCCACAGCACTCTAGCCTAGGCAACACAGTGAGACTCTGTCTCAAAAAAAAAAAAAAAAAAAAAAGAATTCCCTGCAACAAATATTATGATTAAGAAGCTGGGAAAAAGGGAAGGCATATGCATCTGTTGCCAACAAGGAGGAAAAAAGGCAAGTAGTAAAATTAGGGAAACCAGCAAGATTTATGAACGAAATTTGTAATCCAATTATGAAGGAAAATAAAATGTAGAATAATTTTAAGCAAGTAATAGATTATAATAAGAGAATCCATTTGAATATCGATTGGGACATTCCCTTTCAAGCAACACATGATAATAATGAAAGACTTCTTTTTGAGTCTAGTCACATTAATAGGCTTTGCAGTAAATAATATGTACACATAAAAACATACATACTATTTATTTTTAATTAAGTTTTTAGACTCAGCTAGGCAGAGAGCATAAGATTTAAATAGTTTACTTAGTAGCATTTAAATGTAAATCTTGACAATGTGAAAGCAGTGCTGTTGCCAACAGAATTTAGTAGGGGGGCAGATGGGGTGAAGAAAAGGTGAGTGCTGGTTTCCTCATTACATTGTGAGGAATCAGATTCTGTGTTCAAAATGGATGGCTTAAGAAATCAAGCTGATTACCCTAGAGTAGGGGTCCACAGATGTTTTCCGTAGAAGCCCAGGTAATAAATATTTTAAGCTTTGCAGGCCATACTATCTCTGTTGCAACTACTCAGCACTACCATTGTAGTCTGAAAGCAGCTACAGATGGTCCATAAATGTGGCCATGTTCTGATGAAACTTTTTTGAGACAGAGTCTTGCTCTGTTGCCTGGGCTAGAGTGCAGTGGTGTCATCACAGCTCACTGCAGCCTCAAACTCTGGGCCTCAAGCGATCCCACTGCCTCAGCCTCCCAAGTAGCTGGAAATACAAGCTTGCTACCACACCTGGCTAATTTTTCTTACTTGTTGGAGTGATGGGGTCTCACTGTGTTGCCCTCGAACTTCTGGCCTCAAGCAATCCTCCTGCCTTGGCCTTCCAAAGTGCTGGGATTATAGGCGTGGCCACCACGCCCAGTCCTGATGAAACTTTATGTACAAAAACAGATGCGGGCCAGATTGGAACTCTGGACTGTGGTTTGCTGACCTGTGATTTAGAGTTATAGAGATTACCATCAGAAGATCTAAAAGTGAGCCTTTTTGTTTTATATTCTTCTGCACTGTTGATTTTTAAAGAAGCATGTATTTTATGTTACTAAAGGTAGGGTTGGCAAACTTAGGAAATAAAAATACAGGATGCCAGTGAAATTTGAATTTCAGATAAATAATGAGTAATTTTGTCATATAAGTATATTCCAAGTTGCATAGGACATACTTATACTACAAAATTATTTGTTGTTTATCTGAAATTCAAATTTAACTGAGTACCCTGTATTTTATCTGGCAACTCTACTTAAGAAAAAAAAGAATAAATTCATTATGTTTATATAATGCGATATTGTATTAAAAACACCAATAAAATGTAACATAATAGGCTGGCACTCTGGGAAGCCAAGGCAGGAGGATTGCTTGAGCTCAGGAGTTTGAGACCAGCATGAACAAGAGCAAGATCCCATCTCTACTAAAAATAGAAAAATTAGCCAGGAGTGGTGGCGGGTGCCTATAGTCCCAGCTACTTGGGAGGCTGAGGCAGGAGGATGGCTTGAGCCCAGGAGTTTGAGGTTGCAGCGAGCTATGATGATGCCATGGCACTCTACCCAGGGTGACAGAGTGAGACTCTGTCTCAAAAAAAAAAAAAAAGGAAAAAAAAAAAGGAAATTGAAACTCCCTCCTCACTCCCCCTCACTTTCATAAAAAAAAAAAAACCTAATACCTTCACAATTTTTGGCAACTCTTTCTCAATGGCACTGTTAACAGTATTTTTTGATTTTTAAATGTGTCTCCAACTGACTCCTCACTCAGTGTATGTTGGGCTTTAGTTTCCCTTTACTAGTCACTAGTTTCAGGAAGTAGAGATCTTAATTAGCACACTACCGCTCTAGTGGAAGTGCTCTATTTATTTTTAAGGAATTAATATAACAGTGAAAAACATGAGAATTTAGAAAACAACATGGAAGCTAATGATCATATTGGTAGAAATGATAGAGCAAATTTTAGGGGGAGAAATTAAGGTAAAAATTTTGTCAACAAAGTCCTATTAAAAACCAAAAGACATGAAACCTAGGACAAATTTTAAAAACTCTGACCAGAACACCCGTGCTTCTCTGTTTCTAGGTTTATGAACTGACCTTGCATCACACACAGCACCAAGACCACAATGTCGTGACTGGAGCCCTGGAGCTCCTGCAGCAGCTCTTCAGAACTCCCCCACCGGAGCTCCTGCAAGGCCTGACCACGCCAGGCGGCCTTGGGCAGCTCACTGCGGCTAAAGATGAGTCTAGTGGCCGAAGTCGTAGTGGGAGTATTGTGGAACTTATAAGTAAGTTATCAGCAAGGTCCTCTTGTCATTAACTGTGCACTAATACTTGGTGCCCTCTGTTGAATTTTGGGCCCTGCGCTGTACTGAGAAATCCACATCTTAATTCCTTGCCAGAACCTCTAATTTAGGTAGCACCTTTGTTTGCCAGATAGGAGAACTAAAATTTAAAAAGTCTAGGTGGCAAAATGAGGCCACACATTTGAAGCCCAGCCTCCTGGCTCTCTGTCTCCAACTTGGCAGCCTGAACACACTGGGGAAAGTAGCTCCAGGATCCTTGTGTTTAGTTGCCAGACAGCATCTTCAAGTCTTTGGAGGGATCTGAGAATTGCTTCCTGCCCTGACTTTAGAAAATCTCTCCATACCCACCACCATACCCAGTTGGCTCTTCTTCTTGATGCTCTTGGGGCTTGGGCCCTAATTCCACCAGTGGTGGCTGCCCTGGAGCAAGCACTGAGTGCAGGGGCCTTCTTTGTTGTGAGAGTTGCCCTTGAGAGTGGGAATAGATGGGAGTCCCTGAATCCCAGACTCTGGATCTGGGTCTGGCACTTGCAGGCTTTTAATAAGCGTTTGCTGACTGTAGACTCTTTCGGCCACTGCATATGTGGTCGATTTAGTGCAGTGTATAACATGGCCTCACAGCTTCCACAAACTAAGAGAATTTGACTGGAAGTCTAATTGCTGCTTCATAGGAATACAAATGTTTGCCTGAATCATGAGCAGGAAATGTTACTATGCCTTGTTCACTGTCCTTTGCACTGAAGAATCCTTTTCTCTATGGAATGCATGCCTTACAACTAATTAGTGAAAATATTCATTTCTAATAAAATTTATACATGATTATTAGTTAACCAAATAACCTGAGATTTCTAATATTTTTAATTTGACTTTTTAAATGCAATTTGTTTTAGTCCTTTTGACTTTTTAGGTCATATTCTTTAAAGAACTATATATTTGAATCTTAATATAATTTTCATATTGGAATTGAAGTGTTGAATCATGTTGTTCAAGCATTTGCTGTGGAATTATGTTTACATTTTCCCTAGTTTCAGAGTTGAATCAAGCTTTTTGAAGATTTTTGAATTTCTTCTAGATTTTAGCAGATTGTTACCTTTCTTCATCTGTCACTTTCTGTGATTTACAGCTGGAGGGGGTTCCTCATGCAGCCCTGTTCTTTCAAGAAAACAAAAAGGTGATTATTTCAGAAATCAGAGTCTTGTGTTGAATCTCACCGCTTTTCTGTATTTCCATAATGCACTGGACTCTGTGTCTATATCTCTTCTCAGTTGAGTGATTATATGTATAAATGTTGCTGGAATCTGATAAAACAGGCTGAGTAGTTCCGTAGGGTGGCTTTTAAAAATTGCTTTTGTATCAGAATTGCTTTGTCATAAATTTCTAATGCTTTAGGTCAGGGGTCAGTGAAATTTTTCTGTAAAGGCCCACAGAGTAAGCATTTTAGCCTTATGGGCTATAGGGTCTGTTTTGCAGCAATTCAGCTCCGCCTTGTGGCAGGAAAGCAGCCATAGACTGTGTGTGGGCTACTGGCTGGCTGCCTTCCAATAAAACTTTACTTACAGAAACAGGCACCTGCTTTAGGGAATGTGGTGTTATATTTTATAAAGATAACTTACCCTCCCAGTAATTTTATCCAGTATTAGGAATATTATTAAATAGCTTCTTTTGTTTGGTCAGTTATTTTCATTTGGACCTGTTAATCATTTTTCAGCCATATTTAACTTTGTATATATCAAAGTATTCTGATACAGTTAATTTATTTTTATTAAGTCAGTGTTTCTGATAAAATCTGCTAGTTTTGGTACACATTATCATTTTGCAACACCAATTATTTTCCTTTCCAGTGTGGATTTGCATAGGAAAGAATTGCTATCATTTTCTATTTTGAAATCTCAAGGAGTAATCCTTGAGTGTTTAAGAGCCTGAAGCTTAGTATAATTTGTGGTATTGAATGGGATCTTAACAGGAATTCATTCTAGCCTTCACTAAATTAAGTAAACATTTCCTAGAACTTGGAATCAGTAGTATTTGAGCCATGATAGTGTGGGATACTTAATCAAGTTTGAGATATTAGTGAAAAATTGAGATTGTTTAAAAGCCAAAAGGTCTAGCAAAAAGTTAATCTTTATATTCTTGAATTAGGAGACATTTTTGGACATGTGACTAAGTTACTCTGATACTTGTTTTTGTTTCTTAGTCACTTTTTCCAGTGCCAGTGAAGAAGATGATTGATTCACATTGTTGAGATGAGTTGTTTTGTCCTCTTCTGGCTAGGATGTGGGATATGTCCTCTTTTTTATTTTTTTCAGTGTCTTCTGTCCCTGCCCCATTTCAAGTGGTGGTTTTCAAACTTTTTTTGTTGTAGTTGGAGAATCATTTTTTTTTCAAGTCTACCAATATATAAGCTAGTTGAAAGTTAATTTGTGTTGGATGTAGGATTAGAGTAAACGTGATGGGGTGGCCTGGAGTCTCTCTTCTGATAGCAGCCCTGCTCTTATATTATACCTTGAGGAAATTAGCATCTGCAGAGGGCTCTATGGAACATACTTGCACACCATTGATTTGGAGGATAGAGACTGCTGTCATTAAGATCTGAATTCATCGTTTTGGCATTTTATTTGATTTTTTTAAGTTACTATGTTAATTTCATCTAGATTTTGGATTTCCTTTGCTAATATTTTTTTCAATTTTGATGTCCCATCACTGTAAGTTTATGGAAGTTATCACACTTCTGACCTGTTCTTTGGAGAGAAATAACATTTTAAATTTCCAATAATTATTTAGATAGTGTCATTTAATGACATTTGCATGTAATATAGTCATAATGATTTAATCAGTCCAGTTAAATCATATTAAGACTTTTGGTTTCTTTTTTGCTAATATAATTTTGAGCATTAAGTATAAAATGTATTTTTAGAACTTTATAAAAGTAATATTACTTCATCTTCTAGCTCATATTGTGCTTGAGTTCTGATCGTTAACCACAGAGTCTAGAAAATTAAAAGATAATAAAATGAAAGTGACTTTCAGATATAAAGATTTTCCATGTTAATTCTGATGTGTCATTAAAGATATGACATGAATATTCCAAGGGCCAGCCAATAGAATTGAATCTTTTTGGTCATAACTTACCATTTTTAAGGTTAAATAGTAATATAAACTGTTTAACAATAATTCAAATCAATAAATATTTATTAATTTTTAAAATACTTTGTGGTGTAGTTTGAGAATCATTGCTTTTAACTTTTTTCCATATTGAGTTTATTGATTTTAATAGTATTCTCAATATCTCTATATTCTATGTGTTTAACACTCTTGAGGTATACAAATAGTTATATATGATGAAACTATATGAGAGTAAATTAAATATGCTTATGATTTTCAGTTTAGAATGTACATTTTTTTAATTTTTAAAGGGCTTATTTTGAGTAGACTTTAAAGGAATATTGCTGTATTATTTACTAGGCAGAGTGCTCCTAAGCGAAGAAGCAGCCTTGGAAGATGACTCTGAATCGAGGTCAGACGCCAGCAGCTCTGCCTTTGCAGGTAGTTCTGGTTGGTAGGCGGAGCTTCCCTTATCTACTGTCCACCCTTCTGCCCCTCCCCTGTGCCCGAGGACCACACTTCTGGGGCAGCCATGGAGCCAGCTAGCTCATGTGGTGGATAATGGGGACTTCTTTTATAATGGTTGCTTTGAAGCATGCTTGTCTATGTGTTTGCATCATGTGCTGTTTTCTTTGGTTTAGACTGTTTTAAAGTTAGGTTTATGCTCCCTGAACATAAGGCTTTTTGGGGAGGGATGGCTGTCTCCTGTATCAAATGGATCATGCTGGGGGAAATGGGATGAAAAATTGCCTTTGGATAATTAACTTGAAAGAATCTACCTTTGTTTACAGATGGTTTTCTAATTAAATTCTTTGTGTGCTTTATAAAATATGATTAACTTAAGGCACTAATAACTGGATTAAATGAGGGCAGTTTTGGTTGTATCATCCTATCCAAAGGAGTATTTTTAGATAACTGAAAATAAAGTTAAAATATTTGAGAGTGAAAATCTGAATAATTCCAGTGACATTTATTAATATTAATTCATTTATTTTACAAAATAAATGCAGGAGTTTTTCCTGATTACAAAAATTAAAAAGTTAATGCACAATAACTTACAGCTATCTGGAGTAGCATACAGCCCAAGTGCTTAGCAACCTAACTGCCCCCAGGAGTGACCACTGCTTGCAGCTTGGGGTGGATCTTTTTGTTGTGAGTTTTATGTAGTGGTTTTTGTTTTTAGATGGGAATTTAAAAACTGAACTAGGAAAATCTGGCATAAATTTATCCTATAGGAGAATGGGACTGGATCAGAGATCTTGAACAGGGCTTGGAAGAAGGCAAGCCCACCTACAAAGAGATGAATTTGCAGTCATTTCTGACTGCTGTTTGCTTGGAGGATCCAGGCATCAGGGACCGCCCAGCCTGGTGCCCCTGACCAGGCTGCCTCTGAATTACAAACATCTTTACATGTTGCTCCAGCTAAGGCTGGAGCCATTGGTTAAGAACTCGAACTTCAGTTTTTGTGGTGAAACGCAAAATGTGGAGATATTCATAGTATTTTAAAAATACTTGCTGATTATTTTTATTTTATTGAGTACTATAGTAAAAGGCAATTTGAGTAATGTTTGAAGGATGCATTATTGTCTTGCCTTTTTAGTTCATATTTTCACTGTATATCAGGATGTTTTGCAGCTAAAACATTTGATGACAATAACTTTTTGTTCCTTTGCAAACCTTTGATTCCCTATTTAATATTTTCTCTGTCTATTTGCTAAATGAGTGTTTCTCTGTTTTTAGCCTCTGTGAAAGATGAGATCGGAGGAGAGCTGGCTGCTTCTTCAGAGGTCTCCACTCCCGGGTCAGCTGGTCACGACATCATCACTGAGCAGCCGCGGTCACAGCACACGCTGCAGGCAGACTCGGTGGATCTGGCCAGCTGTGACTTGACGAGTGCTGCTACTGATGGGGATGAGGAGGACATCTTGAGTCACAGCTCCAGCCAGGTCAGCGCCGTCCCATCTGACTCTGCCATGGACCTCAATGATGGGACTCAGGCCTCCTCACCCATCAGCGACAGCTCCCAGACCACCACAGAAGGGCCCGATTCAGCTGTGACCCCTTCAGATAGTTCTGAAATTGTAAGTGGGCTGAGGGGCACCCTAGTCTTCTGCAGAGGGGCTGCCAGCTTTCTGAGCTCTTCCCTGAGGCCCAGGAGCTTGACCTTATTTAGTACCTTCTCTAAGGGAAACAGTCTTTTGTGTTGAACATGCAGCTCAAAAATCAGATTAGTTGATTATATGAACTGTGCTAAAATTGAGTACATTTTATGTTCTTTAAGGCCTTATTGGGCCCTGGCTAAATGATTATTTTGAAAAAATCCTTAAGGAGTCTATCATTAACAAATTTGTGGTCTTAATAAAATGTAATTAATAAAATTTATACTGGGTATTATTTTTAACAGTTGACTTTTCAAAACTTTTACAACATGTCCCATTTTATAACAACATGGATTTAAGTACCTCTGATCTCTGAATCAGTGGGCAAGAAACACTCAAGGATAATCTAATTAAAAAGTTTGGTACAAGTGTATACAAAGTTTTATTTTTCAGTTTTTAAAATTGTAATATACATAAAATAACATACAATTTACCTTCTTAATCATTTTTAAGTGTAAAGTTCAGTGGTATTAAATACATTTAAATAATGTTACACAACCATCACTACCATCCATCTTTGTAACTCTTCTCATCTTCCCAAACTGAAACTCTGTTCCCATTAAACACTAACTCCCCATTCCCCTCTCCCAGCCCCTGGCAGCCACTATTCTACTTTCTGTCTCTCCCAATTTGACCACTCTAGGTACCTCATATAGGTGGGATCATTACAGTATTTATCCTTTTGTGAATGGCTTATTTCACTTAGCATAATGTCCCCAAGGTTCATCTATGTTGTAGCATGTGTCAAAATTTCCTAACTTCTTTTAAAAGCCAAATAATATTATATTGTATGGATATGTACCACATTTGCTTATCCATTCATCTATAAATGGACATTTGGATTGCTTCCACAGTTTAGCAATAGTGAATAATGCTATGCATAATACGAACGTGGGTATACAAATATCTCTTGGAGACTCTGCTTTTGATTTTTTTGAGTATGTACCCAGAAGTGGAATTGCTTTTACACTCCAATTTTAATTTAAAAAATGAATACTATTAAGTGTTTTGCTTAATAGTATAGTAGTTAATCAACTTAGTAATATTTCAATAATTTATTAGTGGTTTGAGAGTCCATCACTCAGTTTTTTAGGTAAATTACACTCAAAAGTGGATTGAAACATTCAAGTGTAACACTTTGTGACATGGAATTCTGACCCAAGCTTATGGCTAAACATATGAAGCACTATGCCCAGAATTTAGTGGATTCAGTCTTGGCAGTTTAGGAGATAACCTATTATATTGTGAGGTTTTTGTCTAAAAGTTTTGTCCTCATTTGTGAAGACAAGGATTTTTGTTTGAGTTTTTTTCTTTTTATATCAAAAAGGGAAATTTCCAGATTGCAATCGCTTTGGAACTTTTAGAGCTACAAAAGCTTTTCATAATGTAGTAATGATGTGTTATTAGTAAGCTCTTGGTAATTTCTGCACATGCATTTATGTGCATTTGAGTAAGTGACCTTTGTGTTTTGTATATAAAATATGCCCCATTGTATTTGTGGTTTTGGCCTTTGCTTTTCCATGTTGGAGAGTTTGTCCTTTGGTGGTCACACTTCAGAATTCTCACAAGCCCCCTTGAACCATTCAGGTGTTAGATGGTGCTGATAGCCAGTATTTGGGCATGCAGATCGGACAGCCCCAGGATGAAGATGAGGAAACTGCCAATATTCTTCCTGATGAGGCCTCAGATGCTTTCAGAAACTCTTCCATTGGTATGTTGACTTCAGGTGATGCACTACAAAATGATCTCATTTTCAGTCCTGGACATCTTAATTTTATCTTTGCTTCCAAGAAGAAATCTCTTTTTATATCTTCGTTTTCTGATTTGTAAATAGCAGATGAAAATGACCAACTGAGGGATGATCATACTTTTTTTTATTTTTGGAAACAGAGTCTCATTCTGTTGCCTGGGCTAGAGTGCAGTGGCATCATTACAGCTTACTGCAACCTCAAACTCCTGGGCACAAGCGATCCTCGTGCTACAGCCTCCCAAGCAGCTGGGACTACAGGTGTGCACCACCACACCTGGCTAATTTTTCTATTTTTTGTAGAGACAGGGTCTTGTTGCTCAGGCTGGTCTTGTATTCCTGGCCTCAAGTGATCCTCCTGTCTCAGCCTCCCAGAGTGCTAAAATCACAGGTGTGAGCCACCACATCCAGTGCATCATATTTTTTCTTGATCTAAATCCTGTACTTCTGAGTTATCTTTGCATAATGTGTATTTGTGTTTTAATTGGAAACTTGTCACTTAATCTCAATTTCTTTATTTTTGAAGCCCTTCAACAAGCACATTTATTGAAAAACATGGGTCACAGCAGGCAGCCTTCTGACAGCAGTATAGATAAATTTGTGTCAAGAGATGAAGCTGCTGAACTAGTTGATCAAGAAAACAAGGTGAGGGATATAGGCATGAGACATCTCAGTGTTTCTGAGCTCGTGAAGGTTTTAAAATCACCCTGGCTGCTGTCTGCTTTGCTTACTGCTTTCCCATCTCCGACTTTTTTATTTCCCCTTTTGATACTGACCTCTTCCTAGGCCTGCTCTTTTCTGCTTCTCCAGGTACTACTCACATCCTTAAGAATTGGCTGAGTCCTGTCTCCTTTGAGAATCCTCCGCAAATCTGTTCTGTACTGAATGCTGCCATGCCTGGTTTCTTGGACCATTCATTTGATGATGGTTGTGCATGGCCGTGCAACATTTCTTATTTCTGTTCCATTGAATTGTTTTAAAGGTCTCTCTTTATATTGTTTATCCTTTTGCATGAAAGTGTGCTATCTTCCTAGTTCATGTAAAATTCCTCCAGGATAAGGAATAGTGTTTCATAGTTAATCCTGTCAGTCAGAATTCCATCCTTCAGCAGTTCCTTCCAGATCTCCTATTCCCTCTTACCTTTGGGCTTCCCTGGGCTCTTTCCTTCACCTGAATAGTTTTTGCTTGTCCTGTAGAAGATAGCTCATGCTCTGCTTTCCAGAGTGGCCTTTCCTGAGTGCCTGGTCTCGGCTGCCTTCATATCTAGCATGGTCTCCCTGTGTGCTGAGCTTGTCCCCTGCCACAGCCTTGTGACCCTGTGTCATATTGCTTCTGCCTGGTTGTTTCTGCTCAGTCATGGTCTCTGCGAGGTCAGGCTCGAGAGTGGGCAAAGACAGGAATCTCCATGTGCTCAGCACGCAGCATAATTGTCCCCTGGTTTTTTGATGATGAGTGTCAGTTTCTCTGTTCTAGCCTTGCCGCATCAAAGGTGACATAGGACAGCCTGCTGATGACGATTCTGTGCCTCTTGTCTATTGTGTCCGCCTTTTATCTGCTTCATTTTTGCTAACGGGGGAAAAGAATGGTAAGTATGGAAGACAGGTGTAGAGTTGAAGGAAGTAACTCTAGGTTTTGAAGGTCAACTGGTGGCCACTTTTTGCCTTGTGTTACAGCAGTGGGAATAGAGTATGGAGTGAGTCTGGATTTCACTGACTGAGGTGGGAAGGGAGAAAATGATAGAACTGGTAGTTTATTGGGTCTAGTTTCATTCCTTTGAAAACTAATGTCTGCTGCTTCAGGGCTGAAAGTGGCCTGGGTGTTTTTTTTGCAGTGCTGGTTCCGGACAGGGTTGTGAGAGTCAGTGTGAAGGCCCTGGCACTCAGCTGTATTGGGGCAGCCGTGGCCCTTCATCCAGAATCTTTTTTCAGCAAACTGTATAAAGTACCTCTTGACATCATGGAATACCCTGGTATGTTAAAGGATCACATATTTTTCCTTAGATTCAGTCATTATTGTGAACACTATTTCAGTCTTGACTATTTTAGTTTTAGAGCCGTAAGTGTTTTAAGTTAATTTGTGAGATTTGACTTGTGTTGTAGCTCTTAATAGAGCACGTAAGTAGACTCTCCTTGCATGAAATACACAGAGGAAAAATAGAAATCTGGGAATGTAAGAGCCAATTTCCATACATACTGGATTTATCCCTAAAGCACAAATTGTGCACATTCAGAATTGCTGTGTGTTGCTCTCTGCCAGGCCAGGTGCTCACACTCAGAGATGAGTGGGGCCTGAGAGTGGCTGAGACAGATGGTGGACCCGTGCCTGCTTGCACCGTCTTTGTTATGGCGTAGGAATGATCCTCCTGCCTAATCTTTCTTTGAGGGATAGGGCAAACTTGTGCTTTTGAGTTTACATTAGGTAAGTGTATAGTAGTTTGAGTTTTTCTAATCTTTTTTTTGAAATGAAATCTTGGAATTTTGATTATTATATGACATCCTGGAATTATAATCCAGAAAAGATGTTGTATTGAGGAGATATTAGCAATATGATGAATTAGAATCCTTAAACCCCAAACCTTTTTTTTTTTTTTTATGACTTACAGTTATTATAGCCAAGTCCTTTGTAGATTTGGGTCCTCCCCACCTCTTTTTCTCTTTCCGAGAATTAAGCTTTTTAGTTGGAAAGCTGATGGTAGGGAATTGTACAGTGGCTGGGCAATTTGTTCCCACAGAGGAGCAGTATGTCTCAGACATCCTGAACTACATCGATCATGGAGACCCACAGGTCCGAGGAGCCACTGCCATCCTCTGTGGGACCCTCATCTGCGCCATCCTCAGCAGATCCCGCTTCCACGTGGGAGACTGGATGGGCACCATTAGAACTCTAACAGGTAATGGCCAGTTTATCAGTGATGTCTTTTCTAGGTATCATTCCAAAGTTTTAAATTTACATGAAGATGTCTGTTGCTTATTCTTCTGGTTAGGGAATACATTTTCTCTGGCGGACTGCATTCCTTTGTTGCAGAAGACTTTGAAGGATGAATCCTCTGTTACTTGCAAGTTGGCTTGTACAGCTGTGAGGGTGAGCATAATCTTTTGCAGAAACTATTCCTTCAATTAGTGGACATTTTACCATTGTTACAATTAAAATTGGAGCTTAATGTGAAATATTTCCATATATTATAAAGTTGTAAGTAATAATAAACATCTATGTATCCATCACTCAGCTTTAGAAAGAAAACATTGGCAATAAGTGAAAGCTTAATAAACTTTTAATTCTCCCAATATTTGTTTGAAATGTACCTTTTCGTAAAGGGTATATTTAGAAATATACCTTGCTATCATTATGTATAGTATCTGTTGGGAAAAGAATACTGTATTAGGCCCATAGAATGTTAAGAGTCAAAGTGAGCGTTAGGGATATATAATCAACCTCTGTTTTCGTACCAAGTGGAAAAGCCTCAATTCTTTTAAGTGAGAGTGTGTTGAACTTTATTTATTAGCTGGCTCATAAATCAAAACTGGCCAGTCAACAACAGTAAAAATTAAGCAGTAAAAATGAAAACAAACAAAAAACTCTGCAATTGTCAAATATGTGTGATACCTCCCCTTTTTAAAATACCATGGCCTAACAGTAATTTTTCTCTAGTTCCAGAATTCTACAAGTTTCAGTCATGTCTTGAGCAGAAGGAAGTGTGCTATTAGCTCAGTCACATTGCAGGTTGGGCTCAGCGTGTGTCAGCCACATGTGTGGCTGCAGGAAAGGAGGGTACAGCAGTAGAGGCCTGTCCTGTTCCCTTCTGCATTCAAGTATACAGTGACATCCACGGGGTGGTCCTTGTTATGGGTCCCTTGTCCTTGCCCTGGGTCTGAGATTTGTTTTAAAAGTGGTGGTAGAGCTGTGTTGCAGGTCTCCCTCCTTACCACTGGTAAATGTTCATGAAATTGGCCATGACATAGGCAGAAATAGGAGGAAGAAAGAAGCAAAGTTATGTGAAAGGGACACGTTTACTTTTAAACTTGTATTTACTGAGATAAAGTATATGCCATAAATATTTCTGAGAGATGTGGAAAAAGTGCAGCATCCCCGTTGCAGTTAAAAAAAAAACAAACAAGTGTATGTGTAAGAGCGATGTCTTAAAACCATCAAGATGCAGCTACTCTGAGTGAGGCCGAATCTGCCACCTTCTTCCCCTGGACTTTGTTTTGCAGCATTGTGTCATGAGTCTCTGCAGCAGCAGCTACAGCGAATTAGGATTACAGCTGATCATCGACATGCTGACCCTGAGGAATAGTTCCTACTGGCTGGTGAGGACAGAGCTTTTGGAAACTCTTGCAGAGATTGACTTTAGGTAAGTGCATCAAGTTCATTGGGTTTAAAGCAATATAGCTCAGAAGTTCCAACTAAGAATTTGAAAGTCCCAGGGTCACTTGGTGGAATTGATGATTGTTTGAAGTATCCTATCCATCAGAAATTGAGTGGTTTAGATAAATGGTAGTGATTTTCTCCTTCCCAGTGGCTGTTTGCTGAACTTTGCCCTATGCTTGGAATTTTAAAATATAGGCAGAAGAGTTGATTTTTTTGATCCTCTTAGTTGTTTAAGTGTTCCGGAAGGTGAGAATAAAACAGCCTAGAATTTTTTCACCTTTGTCTTAAACTTTTTAAAAAAAATGTAGCTTATGTGAATTTTGCTTGTTTAAAAAGAATGTACTCATCATTATACTGAACTTAGGTAAGACAGCTGGTTTGTATTTTGTTGCAGTTAAAAAATAACTTGATGTGTTGTAGCTTTCATTTTCTAAGAGTAGGTTTTGCTTGGAGATGTTTCTTTTCAGCACTTCTTTTTAGAAGGAAATTCCTTTTTATTATCCAGGTTTTTTTTTTTTTAAGCTACCATTGATAGAGACCCTGTAGCTTAATTTATTTCATTCTTAGAACATCTCTGCAAATCAGGGATTGTTCTCACCTCCACCCACAGATAGGGCCACTGAGTTGGGTGGGTGAATGCCGGGCAGCGCATGAGGGGTTCTGCTTACCCCATTCTGTGGTAGGTGTTGGGGCTAATTCTGTGGCTCACCTAGAGTCTTTTGAAATAGTAGGTTTTTTTGTTTTGTTTTGTTTTGTTTTGTTTTGTTTTTTTGAGACAGAGTCTCACTGTGTTGCCCGGGCTAGAGTGCCGTGGCGTCAGCCTAGCTCACAGCAACCTCAAATTCCTGGGCTCAAGCAATCCTTCTGCCTCAGCCTCCCGAGTAGCTGGGACTACAGGCATGTGCCACCATGCCCGGCTAATTTTTTAATATATATATATTTTTTTAGTTGTCCAGATCATTTCTTTTCTGTTTTTTAGTAGAGATGGGGTCTCGCTCTTGCTCAGGCTGAGCTCAAACAATCCGCCCGCCTCGGCCTCCCAGGTTTTTGTTTTAAAGAAAAGCAATTTACTGCATACTATCTTATTGAGTCTGTAATTGTGAGAGGAATGTAAATTCATTTATTTGAAGCCATTAGTCTCTTTTGTCTTCTTTTTTGAGACAGAGTCTGGGTCTGTTGCCCTGGCTAGAGTGCCGTGGCATGAGCCTAGCTCACAGCAACCTCAAACTCCTGGGCTTAAGCGATCCATCTGCCTCAGCCTCCTGAGTAGCTGGGACTACAGGCATGTGCCCCCGTGCCCGGCTATTTCTTTCTATTTTTGGTAGAGATGGGGTCTCGCTCTTGCTCAGGCTGGTCTTGAACTCCTGACCTTGAGCAATCCACCTCCCTCGGCCTCCCAGAGTGCTAGGATTACAGGCGTGAGCCACCGCTCCCGGCCCTCTTTTGTTGTCTTGAGTAAGTGCTGCCTGAGAGCCTTCTAGGGTGCTTGGGTGAGCTCACTCTGGAGCAAGCCTCCTTCAGGGTTCCGGCTTGCAGAGGCCAGCAGGTCAGCAGTGAGTGTGTGCTGAGTAAGTATGTGATTTCATTGTTAAATATGTTCTTTTGTTAGGCTGGTGAGCTTTTTGGAGGCAAAAGCAGAAAACTTGCACAGAGGGGCTCATCATTACACAGGGGTAAGCATCCCACCTTAAAGAAAGTGAAGCAGAGCTTTCCTCACAGTGCGAAGCTTCTCTGAACACATTCGTGGTGTCTTAGATGTGTGTATTTCACATTTATATCATGAAAATTGTGATTGTGTGGTTTGAATTTAAGATTTGAGTCTTAAGTTGAGTTCTTTCTCACTAGCTTTCCAAAATATCTTACCTAAAATTTAGTCAAATACAGAGATTATGTTCATTTTTATTATCCTTTTTTTGAAAGCTTTTAAAACTGCAAGAACGAGTGCTCAATAACGTTGTCATCTATTTGCTTGGGGATGAAGACCCCAGAGTGCGACATGTTGCTGCCGCATCATTAATGAGGTACTTACCAATATTTTATCTTTTTCAATTTTTTGGTTGAAGTACTAAAAGATATGACGATGGGATGAGAGTGAAGAATTCAGAGGATATAAGGCAGTATTACTGATTCTTTTGAGTTCATTTCAGCCATTCTACTCTTACACTATCAAATTATCTATTACCATAAGAGTCTAAAGTGATAATTTATTTAAAAATTTTTTTTCTAAAATAATTTAAAAAAACAGCAAAATACTAACATTCCATTGTACAAATAATGCACTTTCATTATCAAAATTTTGGGATATAGAGAATAGCACTAAGGGGAAAATGAAAATCACCTTCAATTCCTCCGACTGGCAATAATCACTTTTAACGTTTTGCTATGTATCCTGTGTACGAGTTTCTTACTCAAAATTAAGTCAAAATATGTGCAATTTTGTGATTTGGTAATTTTCACT